TTAAAAAGGAACCGAACAACAATACAAGCCTGGCAGAAATCTGACATCACTCCAACCTCGAACTTTAAATCATTGGCCTGGTGAGAGCAGCCCTCAGATGCACTGTGACTCAGCACTTCGAGGTGCCTGAGCCATGAAATGAGATAATGGTCTTGTTCCCTTCGTGGCATTAGCTAAATCTGGAGCCAAAATAAATAGGCTGCCTTAAGAACTCGAAGTCCGTGACGGAAGTATTCTAGCGCTCACACTGACACAGGTTCAACTCAGTGTGATGACAGGGAGGAGGGTGTGTGTCGTGGAAGCACCTGGAACTGTTCTGAAATCACTTGTTGACCTGCGAAAGCAGCCAGTAACAGTGCTGACTCAGCAGCACTTGGATATGGAGCAAGTATTGTAAACAAACGGAAACACAATAAAAATATGAACTGTGGTGACTGCTGTAGAGTCGGGTGAAAAATAACATAGTTAGGGATGGAATTTAGGATATCAGAAGCCAAAACTGAATGATGTGAGGGGTTTTCCCCTTGCAAAAAAAGGGGGGTGTGTGTGAGAAAAACTGAAAGAAATTAGAAAAGTTCAGCTCTTTTTGACTCTTGGTGGCAGAATGAAAATGGGATAAACTATGCGCAGGTCACTGAAAGAGCAATAGGTTGGATGGGATTTGAGGACCTGCGGGGGGGAAGAGAGTATGTCATTGACAAGCAGGGAGACCCTGAGAGGTGAGCTGTGAAAGGGGGAGGGGCAGCCCACCCAGGCAGCGGAGGGAACTGAGGGACCCCACTAGGGGAGCCGGGAATTTAAATGAATACGGACAGCGAGCAGAGGTGTGGAGGCCGCCTATAGGCAAACGGGCAGAAAATTGCGAATCCTTCGTTTTAGCTCCTGTTCTAAGTCCTCTCTGTCTGTATTAACTGCTTTAATCCTCAAAACAAGCCCATGATAAAAATGCTGTCAAATCCCATCATACACGTGAGGGAACAGCCTCGGAAAAGTAACCTGCTCAGAGCCACTCTGTGGACAGGCCCGGGCCGGGCTGCCCCCTCGCCCCCATCTAACCCCACCCCGACTCGGTGCTGCCCCCTGCGGGCCCTCCAGGTGAGACAGCAAGTGGGGAGCCGGGGCTCCGCGGTGTCCAAGCCCAGAGACTGAGGCCCAGGGTGCCCCCCAGAAGCCTACAGCCTGTCAGTGGAGTTCAGGCTCACACCAAAACACCGCTGCCATCAGACCCATCCCCAGAAAGCACCAGCCGAGGGCAGTGGGGCCTCCAATGAGACAGCGCGGTCCCCAGGCTGTGGAGCGCGGAGGACGGGCTGGAAATCAACCTTTCCGACGGGATTTGTGGGGAAGGGAGGAGAGAGGGGGAGGGAGTGTCGTGGCTTCACCTCGATTACTCCCCAGGGTTTCCAGAATCAATCCGCAAACGCCTTGGCATGGTGCTCAAGGCCCTCCACAACGAGGTCTTTAAAAAATGTTTCTTTTAAATATGTTTTTACTATTGATTTTAGAGAGAGGAGACAGAGAGAAGCATGGAGGAGAGAAACACGCACCCGTCGCCGCCTCCGGCGCGCCCCTGCTGGAGCCCAGCCT